AGCATTTTAAAATATAATTATCTAATGAATTATCAACTTATAGTTTTATATATGACTTCCTTGATGAAGAACTGTCGTGGAACATGAATGAACTGTCATGAGGGGACGATTATGTAATAAAAATCAAACCCAAAAAAAATATGATTTGTGTAATTACTGATGGTAGAACATTTTGTGAGCTCACGATGGTTTTAATCGGTTATCGGAACCCACAGAAATCACAACGTAAATACGTAAATGCCGCCAATTCCATTAAATACGGCCGTGGCCTTAAATCGGAATGTTCTCCCTGTGTGGCAGAGATAAGCCGCATGGTGTTTAAGAGTGATTGCTTATGGTACACTGCATTTGTGGGTCATCAACATAGACTTTAACAGATTCTTGAAACTTTTTTAGAGCAATCCTAAGCATGACACTTTTTATAATTGTTGTGCGTGCACGTAAGACCAGAAATTTTGTGCAACCGCAACTAACTTGTATTGCCATACTTACTAGTGTGTTGCCACACTAAAAACAATTAAATAAATAAAATCCTAATAAATCATGTTTAGGAATTCCCTAAACACAAAGAACATTCTCATTGCATTTTTTTTGTTTTGCCATATGTACTAGTGTGTTGTCACACTAAAAATAATTATATATTATATAAAATCCCAATGTCACATTTAGGATTTCCCTAAACACAAAGAACATTTTCATTGCATTTTTTTTGGAGTTTACTCCTTTAGAATCGATTTACATATATAGGCCCGGGGTTTGAAAATTATGGGGACCAAAATCGTACTAGCATGTCACACGAAATGCGTTATGCGCCTGATTGGCTCCTGATTGCGTGATGCGTGCGCGCGCCAATCAAAATCGTACTAGCATGTCACACGAAATGCGTTATGCGCCTGATTGGCTCCTGATTGCGTGATGCGTGCGCGCGCCAATCAGGAGCCAACGCGCGGCCGCGTTATTGCAGGTGACGCCGGGCTGCTGCGCCGGCAGTCCGCCACAAAGCCTCGTACTGATCGCGCGTTTCTCTCATTATT